TTGCAAAATTGCCAACTTCAAGTCTGTCACCGAGTGGTTAGAGAGGTTGAAGTGTTCTCCCATAGGTTTTTGAATGTTATGATTCCTGATTTCAGATTTGTGTCCATTTATTCTTTTGCATACAGACTGTACAGTTTGGCCAATGTATATGGCAAAGGGGCATTGCTGGCACATGATGGCATATATCACTTTGGTATTGTCTTAATTCTTTATCAATAGCAGCCCATATCAGTCTTCCCTTGATTTTGCTGGGGATCAGTATCAGGTTAATCGATCTATAGTTTCCTGGGTCATCTCATTTATCTTTTTAAAATATTGCTGCAACATTAGTTTTCCTAGTCCTCTTGGAACTTCCACTGTGTTACAAGTTTTGGGTGGTTTTTTTTTTTTAAATTAAGAAAAACACCGCACACACAATACTAATGGCTCAGAGCTCCTCAGCCAATTCTTTTACTGCTCTTCGTTGAGATATGCAGTCCTGCAGATTCAAAAATGTTTAACTTTAATAGTCACTTTAATATTTAACATCCTCACTAGTTACTGATGTAATAGGAAGAATTTCATTATTGCTCTAAGATATGAATACATCATCCTGCTTCTTTACAAAGACAAAACAGAAATTTAGCTTTTTAATAAATCATGACTGATAACTACCATGTTTGTCCAGTATCAGACCTAGACCACTGATAAGATTTAGTTTGTTCCCAATATATTTAAAAAAGATTCCTTCTTATTGTCCTTAACTTTTCGGACCATAGGGGTTTTTTTTTAGTAGTTGTTGGTACCTTGAGCTTTCCTTATCAGTTTTGGGTCTAAAATATCGTACCACCATCTAAGGCTCTTTGCTGTGATTCTAGGGAGTTCCTGTTATTAAATCAATAACAATACAGAGTTACTGAAAGAAAACAAATATTAAGGAGCCATAATAAAGACTGATCATTGTAGAACTGCACTTAACACTACTGGTGAAATTGTGGATCTGTTGACATGAGCAGCAAAACTTCCACAGACTTCAAATCATGTCAATATTCCATTCTATATGTACTTTATGCAGAGCTTTACAAAGAGTTCCCACATTTAGCCAAATTGTGGATTACCATTTCTACAGTTGCTAGTCCACCACAACTGAAAAAGCAATATTTTACTGGGTAATGTTAACAAACAGAGCTGTTAGAAAGATACAGGCTTTGCACAGTGTCCTCTTTAAACATACTGTTAGACCACCACATCTGTAAAACCAGCTTTCACGGCACTGCAGGTTGCTGCCCCCAAAATCTCATCAAATGTATCATTCCTTTTTGCTAATATAATCATTATCAGTCGGTATCATGAATATGGACGTCATCCCAGGGTATTTTAATATTTTTAAAACCATTGCCACATTCTATTCTAAATTACAATGGCTTTATGCTCATGCAACTCCACCGACTTTACTGCAGTCATTCCTGATACACAGGTGTGAGAACAGACTCAGATACACTCTCCCCCAGTTTTCCACGGTCATTATTACCATGACAACAACGGGTAGACCCAGTATTTTTTTTTATTTTTGGGCATACCAGCTGCAGCATTTAGATCGGGGGTGGGGGGGGGAACCACTCAGAATGACAAGAATGTTGGCTTCATTCCCAACTACAGCACATTAAAAAATACTCCACTCTTTCAGTCAAATTCCTTGAACAATAAAAAAGTAGGACCATCTTTTCCATACTATTCTGTAAGTTTTCCAAGAACAGCCAGCAGCTAAAAATTATTTTTTTTCAGTGTTGTACCGAGATATCAGGATAACTATTTAGCATCAGATACCTACAAAAGTGAAGAGTAGTCTAGCAGAACTGTTGACAGTATTAGATGCTATTTAAGTATAGAAGAACACTACTGTATAACTACTATCACTCGCTCTAAATCATTCATTGCATTACTATGCTTTCAAGATTCCAACCACCAAACAAAACATTGAACCAAAATTTAAAAAACTCCACTGGAAATCTTGCTGAACTTCAAGCTATTAATTAATCCTGTGTCCTGGCAATAACCCCAAAACGCTGATCTCTCTTTTTTTATTTTAGTAAGAGAACTAATAATTTTACTTGTAGTAGCCCTTTTAAAAACTTAACTCACTCCAATATATTTACTACACACACACACACACTGGTTTTGTTCTATTGGAAAATTATTTTGGATTGAGCTACAAGGAAGTGAAACATACTCATAAATACAAAGTTTATAATATAGTTTGAGGAAAAACAAAGGACAAGGAATTTAAACATTTGAAGTATAATTGGCAAATTAAAAATAAGAGTTTTCACTAAATGGATGCCCAAGGTTAGGCTACTAAAACAATATTTAGGAATCAAAGTATCTGGCCTGAGTTTTGCTCAATATTTTTTAAAAAACAGTTCATTTACTTAGATGGCTAAATATGCCAATGCTTGAACAAGTAAAAGTGTTTGCCTACATTATTTAAATTACTTGAAGTTTCTAAAACCAACAATGTTTAAAAATGTTTACTTATCACTATAGTGTTTACTTTTTGCATTTGGCAGCTTAATCAATGAAAATTAATGAAGCCAGTTACACACTTCTTTATCATCATTTTGAGCCTCTTAATATTGCAGTATTTAAACAATGTTTAATTGTTTAAAAACAATTATTTTAACTGGAATATTTAAATGCTATTGTAG